CAATTGACCTGACTCACCCCCGCTCAAATGGTGGTCGAGAGTCGGTCGAGAGACTTCCCAGTGGAGTGTACTCGGGAGACCTTCTCCACTCCCTACAAACTAGACGTCGACAGACGTGTTCACGACCGTGTGATAAAAGCCGCCGATCGCCAAGATGCTGCTGCACCTGCTAGTTAAAGCGTGGTGAGAGCCACTCTCTTAAGGGTAGCTGACCGTCTGTCTTCTATGGAAGAAACACCATCTCCGAGTACGTATCGGGCAACCTTTCAAAAAGTATAATAAAATTGTAAATTGCTTGTTTACCCAAGAAGCACCTAGAAGTTCATATGAACTTATTTAAACGTGTCCGTGCGTTCCAGATCGAATTGGAATTTGGAATTGTTGGTCTTTGAGGAGAGGGGAAAACCGAAGTACCCGGAGGAAAACCTCTGGGAGTAAGGGAGAGAACCAACAACAAACTCAACCCACATATGGCGTCGACGCCGGGAGTTGAACCCGGGCGACATCGGTGGGAGGCGAGCGCTCTCACCACTGCGCCATCCCTAGCTCCCCAAAGGAACGACGTTAACCTCTTCAAGGAGAATTGACAAATGCCCCACCCCCGGGTAAAGGTTTTCTGACAAATCTCCCTTTGTCAAGTATGAAGAGGTTATGTGTTCAATAAAGTTCGTGTTCGCGCCGACACAAGCATATATGTACGCATAATGCTCAGTCAATTTCAAGCGTGCCCACCCCCGTCCCCCGGGCATTTGTCAGGCAATTGTCATCTTGTCGGTCCCGGCGGTGAGGATTTGTCAGAAAACCTCTGCCCGGGGGTGGGGTATTTGTCAATTCTCCTAGAAGACGTTAACGTCGTTCCTTTTTCAACACTTCACTTAAAAATATGAACATTCAGATAGCTTTAGATATTTCTATAAACAATATTTTTAATACTGTCTAATGCTCTAAAAGGATATGTGTGGTTTTCACTTCATCACTTCCCTACCCCACAGCATGTTTTGCATCTGTCCCGCCATCTTGATCAGTTCGCATGTGGTTGAAAAACAATCAATGTATCGTTTGAAGAGTTTAAAGGAAAGAATCTTCCCGGTAGGCGGGGGGGGAGGGGGAATCTTTCTTTGTGCCGTGAATGTTTCAGGCAGAAAGGCCTAGAAGACTCTGTCAGATATATAAAAGTGAATATAAACTTTATGTATTGTGCGATCAATACGACGATACGCTGACGAATCGGTTCCATCATGAAGGGAAAATACTCATATTAATCTCGTCGGTTGTTTGTTTGAATCATTCACTATATTAAACATCTTCGAAAATAATAGAGGTCTTCTTAAAATTCTGGTTTATAGTGTTGTCTTTGATATTTAAAATCAGATCAGTGTGATCTTTTTTGCAACAAATATAATTATAACAAGCGGCTAGGAGCGATTTGCGTAGGGTGCTTCAGCGTGAGTTTATTCAGATTATTACAGATTTCCTATAAATTTACATAGGTATTTACTGGAAAATGAAATTTTGGTGTTGTCCCGGGGTGGGGCATTTGCAGCTTTTCCAAAACAAAATGACAAATGCCCGACAAATGCCGGAGGAAGGATGGGCACGCTTGGAATTGACTGAGCCATAAATAGCGCCAACTTGATTTTGATCACTTCACGCGCGCTGTGTACAGGGGCACCCAACGAGAATATAGTTCAAAACCACTCAACATAGCATTGTTAAACGTATTTTAGTATTTAAACGGTAGATATAGGCATATTTTTATCCCCTAAAAAGTTTTCATCTGTTCGGATTTCCTAGCTGAAAGTCTAGTGATCCGAAAATTATAGGGATCAAAACTTACTTTTTCGAAAATTTCAGCCCGAAAAAGGCTCCCGAAAATTCTAGGTGGCCTTTTTTAGGGTAAATATCCGTTTAAAATGGGTAATTATACCATTTTGTAGATGTTCGAAAATCCTAGGAGAGGCAGGTAAGCAAGAAATTTTACAACAAATGTTCCAAAAATTCTAGTTCTCAAATCGTCTCCCGAACAGATATTTTCCCGAAAATTGCCGTTGGGTGCCCCTGTGTGTACTGGACAGCATCGATCGTAGAATGAAATATTTCCGAAAGCTTTTCTTTGCAACACTCTTATCGTTGTGTTTTACTCGTTTCTTTATTTTTTGAAAAGGAATGAACTTTAATTTGTTGCACACCTGCAATCAAAAATCGGTCTGCACAAAAACTCCACAGGCGGCCTAAGCCTAGTCTAGCCTCCTACCCAGACGTTAAGGGGATATTAAGAGGATTCGTCCGGCTTTCGTTAAACATTCCTCCCGAATACCGCATAGGACGTCCGCGTGGGAGGCTACCCAAGGTCTCTTGTGTAAGTGATTTCAGATAAAACTATCCAGCACTGAAAAAAGAAAATCTCTTGTGGCATGTAATGCTGGAGGAAAATATGTTACAGGTTTGGGAAACAGATTTTTACTCAAAGTCAATCACCCAAACCCCCCCCCTTAAAAGACAACCGGTCGACCCCTAATCATTAATATGGGCGGTCTCAAATTGCACAGTCCTTGATGAAATGGCCGCGAACATAAAGGATTTGTATGGGAATTCAGGTTAAGTATTTCAGGGATTTTTCATGAAATACACCTTTCCAGATGAGACAGTCGGTTGGACAGCACTCACCTCCCTCGAAGACTGTGCAGCGGCATCCTGGCGATCGGCCATGTTCTATCTGTTGTCGACGTGTGTCGACGTCTGGGTTGTCGGGAGTGGAGAAGGTCTCCTTAGTCCACTCCACTGGGAAGTCTCTCGACCGACTCTCGACCACCATTTGAGCGGGGGTGGGTCAGGTCAATTGAGCCCACGATCTCCATCGGTCGCTGACCAGCGGGTTAAAGTTGAATTCGAAAAGTTGAATGTCGAATGTGGAAACTTGCAAGTACAATGTCCAAAGTCGGATGTCGGAAGCGAAAACTTAAAGCCTTGACAAATGCTAAATGCTGGATGCGAAAAAAAGAATGTAGTGGGTTGTACATTCCACTGAACTTGAAGATCGAATTAGAAACTTGACTGTTGCTTATGAAAAGTTGAATGTCGAAAGCGAAAACTTGAATGTTGCATAAATCAAAGTTGAATGTTGAATGCAAAAAAGTTGAATTGCGAGTTTAAACTCAAATGACAAACACAAAATGCACGATAGATTGTGCAAAGTACAATGTAAAATGGAACATTGAATTTTGGCGGAAATGGAACGCCATAGTTTACAAGGAGGATTTTAAGCGCCAAGATAGGTGACGTTCGTTCTCGATTAGCTTTATAGTTTTTATCAGACAATTCTGGAATCGAGTCCGCAAACGAGATTCATGTTCGAGATAAAGAAATTATTATAATTAATCGATGCACTGAAATTTATTCCCAGAGAAACAGTACAGGACGAGCGATCGATTAGCCCGAATTCCGTCGAAGGTGATTTTCACAATCATCTTGCAAGTAGGTGTGAAACGCTTGATGGACAAAAACTGTCAGCTATCCCTTAGTTTTCTAACAAATAACGGGGTATCGTTAGTGTAAGATCACATTACTGATCACAGCAAGGCGGAGGGTACAGTACCGACCTGCTGCATTGTTGCGTTACTCCACAACTCAGTTTGTTGTTGTTTCGCTTTGTTGCGTTTCATTACGACATGAAATTTATTGCGGCGTTCTTTTTTTTTAAAGGGTTTAGTGCAAAGCAGAAAAAATAGCCAAAGAAAAAAGAAATCATTACAGCGTTATAGAGCAAAACGCATTAAACGACAATTATATGGAAAATATTATAAAATGTTCACATCCAAAAATGACCGGTCAAAATGATCGGCAAGACGAGAGTTTGATCGGTCAAGCCCACGATCAGGCCGGACATTGTCCGTTGACCGGCCGTTATTTTGAGCCCTGAAAAGCGCTCAGAGGAGAACAAAACACGCACTGTATTTCTGTAATAATAAAAGGTTTTAATAAGTAAATACTCAGGACGGTTCAAATTCAGTCATTATTTTTGGCTGAAACATTTGCCAAGTGACTTTGCGTATACGACGAGAGTAAGATTAAGGATCGTGAAATTACAATTCCCGGTCAAAGCGAAATCTTTAAGTATTGACTGGCCGTGTAAAAGCTGTTAGTTTATACCATTTTAGTTTTTAAAACTTACATTAAAACAAGGGCAAACAAAAACTCCTTTTCTTCAGAGGGTTTTCTGCCCAAAACAATATTACAAAAGTCCAGCCATACCAAGTTCGGCGGAATTCTTAACCTTGACCCTTTGTTTGTTTGCTCTTATTTTCAGAAAGAATCACTCGTTCGAGGATTTAGAACCTGATGACTCCCTGTCAAGTTTCTTGGAATAAGATTAATTTAGCAACATAATGTAAAAGAACGAAAGAGGAACACTCTGAAAAACGAACGTTTTTGCATCATTTGATTTTTAATATAATTATAATATCACATTAACGTGTAATTTTAAAAAAAGGAAAGTTACAAACGAATGGTTAGTGTAACTCTCAAATGTTTAGTTTGATCCACGCTTTTTTTCGGGTTACAATAATTGAAATAATAGTAAAGCAAAGATGAAACGTGATTGCAAAGAAAGACAGCTCTATTCATTTCTATATTGATGATCCTAATCTACACCAAATCCGGATTCTCTTCGCTGCTGTTTTATCCAATATTCCTTTTCAAGATTTCATAGTTTTCTGAAACACAAATGTCCGAAATGTTTACGGATACTGAAACGCACACCATGCGTGCGAGAGGTGGTTGTCAGATCCATGCATGCATGAGAACGGATCAAAAGAACCTGGTACATTATGTTTCTTAGCCCTATTTCATGTTCTTGAAGAGGCCTGTCTGAGCACCTTTGGTCGGAATTTCAATTCAGTAAAAGCAACTGGAGAACCTAATTACAAAATGAGCGATGATGCAATGATGCAATCCGCATACCACGTATACAGCAAAATAGCATTTTCTACTCGCTCTTCGCCCCAGAGGACGTACCACGCATAAAACCACTTTTAGAGTCAAGCAATAATCGGCTTAGAGACGAGTCCCACGATTTCAAAGAAGCTCACCTATGGTGACGCAACTGAACTTCTAACAATGCAAAGTCGTACAGTTTTTAGTGAGGTGGTTGGTTTACAACACGACTATTATATTATTACTTCCGATTAGCAACTAGCTGCAACTCCCACAAAAACACTTGTAAACTTGTTTCAGAGACGACTCACGCCAAACGTACTTCGTCAATTGCGCTTTAAACGTTAAAAAAGTCATCTAGCAAGCCTTCCTTTTCCTTATCTTCGTTGCAAATATCTCTTAAATGATCCACATTTTGGTTTAAATAGAACATGTCCTTAGCCGGAACACTACCGAGTACACAAAAATTCATATCCGGGCACTCTGTTAGCATCGTCGTGTATGCGATGTCAAAACGTGAACTTTCATCCTGGCACTGAATGTTTAGGTTTTGCGCAAGTACTCCAATGAATACATCATCAATGTGAATCATTTTTGTCTGAAAAAGGAAAGAGAAAAAAACATAGTTTTAGCCCTTGTCCAGATTCGTTAAATGAATCTCTTTGTATGGAAACAAATCCCTAGAGCTGCCCGAATTGGTAGGATTACAGTTTTAAAGTGAATAAGCTTTACTTTTTGGGGGTATACGTAACTGGGGTTTAATTTCAGTCTTGTATAAACTGGGGATCAAGTATAGATATCAGCGGGGTTTTTAAATCTAATTGGGGCGTGGCATCTTTTATCGCGGAAAAATAGCCAGAGGTATGAGGAATTTAGTCTAAAATGGGAAAAAACGTTGGAACAGTGAAGGAACACTAGCTCCACATTATAATACAAAGGGCTGGTTGAAACATATTTGGCTTAATAAGGCCGGAGTTTTATCCAGCGGGCGGCTCCTGAGTATAAGGGTACAAGATAAACTGCCCGACTGTTATCTCACTCTAAGACCTAGACAGAACTAGAAATAACAGTAATAATAATAATAATAATAATCATCATCATCATCATCATCATCATTATCATCATCATCATCATCATCATAGCAATTCCTTCTTAAGGAATCGTAAAAAATGAGTCAGGAGAAAAACAAATAAACAGATAATGCGCAAACATTTGTTCTGTTCAGTAAATATTCTGCTTTCAAGAGGGATGGCACCACCGCTGTATCGATGGCCGACAAAATTCCCTATCAGGAGCCGATTACTTAATTGGCTCCTGTCCCTAGTAATGGCAACCTTGGCAACTTTGATGTAAACACAAGCAAAAACACCATATAAGCACCGGCAAATGTCTGAAGAACATACCCTTATAAATTTGTTCAAGATGCTCATTTAGCATTCCACTCCCGATCAATGAACCTCAAGAAGAATTTATTCAGTAGTCACAGTTTTCGGTTCAGTATGGCTTGGAATTTGAGTCAGTTTGTTTGCTATTTGGATGGAGGAATTATTTTTCTTAAGGTTGGTTTCCACTAGCGATGGAGTTGGAGTCGGAGTCGTAAGAGCGCTTATGACCTGATGAAAATCAAAAATGGAGTCGTAAGCGGAGTCATAAGCACGACGGAATCGGAATCAGAATTGGAATCAGAACGTCTCCATTTTCTTCCGACCCCGCTTAAGACTCCGTCGCTTACGTTCCGCTTATGATCTAGAGAAAACCAGATTGTTGGAGTCGGAAACAGAAGAGGAAGGATAAACAAATCGCAATGCATGTTCCCACGCCCTGTGATTGGTTAACCTCTTCCGCTTCTGCTTGCGATTCCGACGACCCAGTTTTCACTTGATCGTTAACGACGGAGTCGTAAGCGGATTCAGAAGAATCGGCACGCTGTTTTCATTAGATCGTAAAGTTCTACGCTTCTGATTACGACTCCAATCCTGTCATTAGTGAAAAACAGCCTTTAACCAATTAAATTTACTCAGTGACGCGAAATGTATTGGGTCTCCCGCCAAATGTATTACAAATATACAAATGTATGCAAGGCACTGCTGTGTTGGTTTTCACATGACGTTACTAAAATTCAAACTACAAAACTATCGATCCTACTGAGATTTTACTTTCATGGTGTATTAGAGCTGCTGGAAACTAATTTTCAAAAGGGTTCTTGGTTTTGTAATAGAGTACGCTTGAATTTCTAAGCTTTTGCGAGACGCAGCATTTACATGACATTACATTAAAATAAATACATTAAATTTATGTATTTTTATGGATAAAACGAGAAGTCAGTCAGACCTCAGCTCTGTCAGCTTGCGGGAAGCCGGCTAAGTATTAGAATATATATAAGCCTTACCTCTCTGGCAAGCTGAACCATCCTCTCTGCAACATCTCGAGAGAGGACAACACCAATTCCTGACCCGTAGGTGGGAAGCAGTTCGTCCGACCATTGATTTTCTGGTATGAAATAGGGGCTCTGCGGATTTCTAACCACTGCGACTCCCGAATGACAATACCCAATGTAAAGGTCTTTCTTATATTGCAAAACATCACCGGTTGAGTCGCTTAGTGAATGAAGCCATTTGATCGTTTCTTGGACATTAACAAAAGAGTCCGAGTTTACTTTTAAAATATATTGTGAATTGCTCATAGTAGTTGCCCATTTAAGTCCTAAGAGGATCTTCACTGTATGCAACTCATTCTGAACATACGTGTCTAGAAAATTTCCACGCAAAATGTCCCTATAAGTTTGGGACTCTTTTTCGACTCGCTCGTCGCTGACTTCGTCGCAACCGACCACGAAAAATAACCGAAAGGAGTCTTGGTTTGAATTAGAACCCGAAGTACTCTTTCCCCAAGACGCTCTTATGGCTTTGCGCGCCTCGAAGTTCTTGCTTGTTGAGACCACGATTATAACCAGAAAAGCGTCGTTGTCGGAGCCAGAGGGGCTAAGAAACATCGCTCTTTCTTTAAATGGTGGTGGATACGGAGGTAGTGTTGGACGAGGCGGTGGAAGGCTATCTTCGGCTTTAGCGCTTTGCACGGGAAGAGACTCATTTTTTACGTTCTCTTTTATCTTGTGTAGATCGGTAATTTCTTTGCTTTTCTGGTCTGATTCAGGTGAAGAGCAAATTAACAGTGTGACAATGCTACCGGTTATGAAGGACGCTACGTTAACCAAAATGGCCTTAGTACTCCGCAAACGCATAATCGCTCACTGAGATATTCGGTTATAAACAATCACCACCGGTCTCCTCACAGATAGAATTGCTTCCGTTGTTCTTGCATTTACTGCAAGATTTGCATTCGCTTAGAGCGACATAATAAGTGGAACTTAACCATCACGAGCCTGCCACATCACAATTTGCTGGAAAACGTATTACTTAAAAGGAATCACATTTGAAAATTATTGTTTCTGAACTAGCAAAATAAAGTCACAATTCAGTTGCTCGGAAACATTATGCGTCAAGGAAAGAACGCGAAAAAAGATATCAATAAAGAGTATTCAAATAACCTTTTTATTCAGCCCCGAAATAATTATTAATTTAAAGATATATTTGAACAGCAGTCAAAGTCTTTCATACGGAACATTTCTCGTTTGGCGACTTTTATAATTTGGAATATTAGTTGGACACACATCTAGGGGTGTAGCTACCTGTACGTACGATCGCGCGTGCGTACCTGAAAAAGCTGAAGTTAAAAAAATAATAATAATAATTGTAATAAATAAAGTATATAAAGATAATGGTAAGAGGCAATTTATTAAAATAAAAGAGGATTATTTAAAAAAGCCCATTTTGTTTCAGTTGATCAAACCAGCTCTGATTCAATTCAATTCAATTCAATTTTATTATTCCCACTTTACAAAATATTTACATTATATATCTAGCCAGATTTATGAAAACCGTACCATCGGACACCAGGGCCCGGTTGCATAAAACGTCCGTAACAACTACGGGTACACGTACGTGCACTCGTAACTTAAGTCAGTTGCATGAAATCACTTAAGTGGTCCACTTAGGGAATTCACTTAAGTGGTTGCACTTACGATTTTCGTAAGTGTTCACTTAAGTGTCGTTTATGCGACAGAAATTGCGGGTGTTGCATAAAACGTTTTTTACGGGAAAAATAGCACGTAAATTTACGGGACCTATGTAGGTCCCTTATCGTCACTGTTTTTACTAAATTTAACGAGATCTTTTACTGAGAAGTGAAAAAAAGTATTTTTCTTCACGTAATTCGTTCTAATGCGCTTTGTTAACCTCTGATGTACACTTTTGTGAAAAAAGAAGAAGAACTATCATTTTCAGTAGATATTGAAGAAAAATAACGTTTGCATGCAAATTTCATTTTTTGAGAGTAAAAGTGTTGGAAACGACTTTTAACTTTCTTTACACTCACCGATGGTTAGCTTAAAAAAAAAAAAGTGAATCGTTAATAAAGTACTATAGCAAGGTTACGTGTGCCCTTAAGTGAGCCCGTAAGTTACCACGTAAAACAGAAACTTACGAGAGTGCTAAGTGTGTTCCATGCAACACCCGTAAGTGTACCCATAACGGATTCGTAAGTGACCTACTTAAGTGAGCACTTAAGTGCAGGTTTTATGCAACCGGGCCCAGGATCCCACACACCTTAAACTGACTCAACTAAAGTAAATATCGCCAAGAAACTCAGCTCTTACCCATGGTTCTCTTAAGGTGACTCTCTTCTTGGTTCCTGATTAGCAAAAGAAACATTCAAGTCCATCAAAAAGACACTCTGGACTTGTCCATACACTCTATAGCTGCTTAAAGGCCCTGAATGACGGAGGACGCTTGAGACTTCAGCAAGTTCTAAGCAGAGAATATAAGGTTAAATCACCCCCCCAGCCTAGCACGTGCTTGAGGGGAATGCTTTCATTGGCCAATGGGCCTCAAACGTTACAAGAATTTGACATGACAAACTAAAGGCAGACATGACCAGTGCACTGACTCTCCCAGACCAGGACTAACGGAAGGTACAACGCTTTTGCAGCACCCTCCCCCGCTAGGGATTGACATGGAGGCCCCTTTCCAACCCATGGCGAGTTAGCTCAGGGACTGAACTTGACAATGAGACCAAGCAGGACAGCAAGCCCCCTATGTTTTTTCTCACCGCAGTGACCAGAAAGCTGGCTATCGCCAGCTTTCTGTGCGAATATGCTGGTGCATTTTGAGGTATGTTTTCAAAAATTCGGCTAGATATAGTAAGGTAGGAATGCCTAATAAAGGAGAAGAAGAAGGAAAAAAAAGAAAATTAATGGCTTGGCTAGAAGTGTACGGTGATCAGAGGAGCTTAGCTTTCAAGATTGTATCTTTGAATTGTTTTTCTTTTTTTGTAAAACAACGGAATGTTTTTTTGCCACACCCAAATGTCGCTTTCCAACTTCCAACGAAGCGACGTGATGAATTGGTGCACCGAATCTTGAACGATATATTTAGGGAAAAGGTGGCCTGTCTTCGAAGTGGACGAAGACTGACACGATTACGTCAAAGTATGGTGCCTTTACGCGGTCAAACACAATTATGTGGGGGTCCATGATGCGATTGACGGGATGCGCGATACGAGATTTGGCTATATTTTGTGTTCACTTGGTACTCGGTATGAGAGCTAAGACGGAGCGGGAAAAGGGAAATTGATTAACATGCAGCCATGAGATTCCCTGATTTTATGGGGATGGGAGTTGAGAATCGTACGGACTGAAAAGTAGCAGATACGGAAATTCAGTTTTGTCGCGGACCCGCAGGAAATCATATATAGGCCTATTGATCTCAGCTCCTAATAACTGTAGTCAGTGGATTTGTGGTTGCGTTGTATTCATTATTAAAGCCTTCAAATTTATGTATTTTTGCACTTGGAAGCAAGTCTTTCAGAAGTTTACCTCTTTTGTAAGATATGGTCAGAGGCTTTTTTTGTGCCTATAGGAAGGTTACAACTTATTTACGTCATTTCATAGACAATAAAAACGCTAAGGCTTACAGGTAGTTTCATATCTCATCAAGGCACCTAACTAATCAAGGGGAAGGGGGATTTGTGCATACATCTGGAAAAATCCTGGCTACACCCCTGACATCGTGAATGCATTTTTTCCGGCTGTACCAAATTCAGACTTGAATTTTATCACTTGGTGAAATGACAACTTACTTTTAAGGGTACGATAATAAAAAGGGTGCCCTATCAATTTAGATAATGCCATTAATATAAAGTCTAAACTATACAATAAAATACTCGAAAATGCGCTGTACTGAGTGGAAATAAGTCAGATCTTTTCTACTAAAAAGACGACAGAATCAAAATTCATGCAGGGGCACCCAACGACAATTTTCGGAAAAATATCTGTTTGGAAGACGATTTGAGACCTAGAATGTTCGGAACATTCGTTGTAAAATTTCTTACTTGCCTGCCTCTCCTAGGATTTTCGGACATCTAAAAAAAGGTATAATTGCCTATTTTTAACGGATTTTTATCCTAAAAAGGTCACCTAGAATTGTCGGGAGCCTTTTTTCGGGCTGAAATTTTCGAAAAGTTAAGTTTTGATCCCTATAATTTTCGGATCACTAGACTTTCAGCTTGGAAATCCGAAAAGACGAAAAATTTTCAGGGGATAAAAATATGCCTATATCTACCGTTTAAATACTAAAATACGTTTAACTATGCTATGTTTAAGTGGTTTTGAACTATATTCTAGTTGGGTGCCCCTCTTCATGGCTGATAGTGAAACAGATAAAAAAAACTATTCGTCAGAAGCTTCCTAATTTGGCCAATTATCTATCGAAAGGTGGCGGCTCAATCTGGGTTTAGAGTCTTCGTTACCATTCGCGATCGACGGAACGAGATTGGGGGCACGTGGATTCATACGGGGAGCTTTTCGTTATGCGCGACAGTGATTATCAAAGCAGCAGGCCTGGGCAGTGCGCATAAAAGAAGATTTTTTTCAAAATATTTCTCCGTTCCTAATTTTGAAGACGTTGAGATAACAGGTAAAATCACTTTAAAAAAATCACGATGAGTTTTTTGTGATATCCGTAATAATCAACGCCACGAGCGAGGTAAGTGTTATCAGCCGAGCCGAAGGCCGAGGCCGGATAACACTTACCGAGACCTTGATTATTCCGGCTATCACAAAAAAATCTAATTATGTTTTCAATACATTGTTTTGAAATAAATAAATAGTACAATGTATAATAATGCAGGCTATCGCCAAGAAAAGGGCCTGGGAAAGAGGTTGTGTTAGCTCAGGTGTTTTGGTATAGATGGAGAAAACAGGGGAGCGACGCAGCGCCGGCGCTTCCCTGTATATAGTGTCCCCCGGGATTCGGACTTCCTGCGCTGTAAGTTCACTTCTGGTTAATGGCCTCTGTTTAAGACACGATTTTTCTCAACTGTCAACATTTCATGATTTTCTTCATCCCTTTTGAAAACTTATTTGGATTTATTATTCTTATGTCACTGTTCAAACATTTAGTCTTCCTTTTTGTATGGTTCTGAGTGCTGGAAAGTAACGAAAGGAGATACGAGAAAGGTAGATGTCTTTCATAGCACAGCTGCCATCGTAAGATCTGCAATATCTACTGCGATGGTCCAACAAGATGACTAATGAGAAACTGTATAAGAAGACGGACAGTATGAAATACGTCTCTCGAGATTATAAGAAGAGCGGGGCTCTGATGGCTTGGCTATGTCCGTATAAGGATGTCTAACGAAAGGATACTTAAAGTAGCCATAGGATGCATGGACTCCAACTGGGAAAAGGAAATAAAGAGAGGGCCGGCCAAAAACAACCTGGCGGAGAACAGTAATGAAAGAGCTGAGAGGAGATGGGTCTAAAATGGAGCGAAGCGCAGGCCAAAGCTCAGGACAGAGGTCAGTGGGGAAGTTCAATTGCGGCCTTGTCCCTGCCGGGATGAAGAGGTTGAGTGAGTGAGTTTAGTCCCTTTAAGTGTTGGAAGTGCAAATGAGAGTGAATCGTTAAATCAAAACCCCTGACCCTTGATTAAACTTTTCACAACCCCCGAGAAAGAAAAAAACAAAAATTCGTTACCTAAATACTTTGCCCCATATCTGACTCCCCAAACTGAATAAAAGAGTAGCGTTCTTGATTAGTTCCAAAAAAGAAAACCGAATATGTATGACACTCAAATCTGATGTAAAGAAAGGTGTGTCTTTGTCGATTCACTATTTGGGTAGCCT